GATCGCGAGTTCGAATCTGCAAAAAGGAGCCAAAAGCGCTCCCTCTGGCTGCAACCTCGCCCGGGGCTGAAAGACATGGAAAGCCCGGGGCACAAATAATACAAGACGCCCGCCGGTTGCAATCAGTTTTTCGTTATTGTGTATTTTTATGTGTGTATGTGTAATTATGTGTGTGCAACTCATGATAGGTCAATAAATATTCCATTCTTTCCCATTTCATTGTAGGACGTCAAAACAACCCATATCTTTCTATATCAAATATATTTATGTTCCAGTGAATCGTGTAATTGTATATGTGAAATTCTATCTTCAATCGATGAGGAACCAAATAATAATAATAATTATATATAAATGAATAAATAAATAAACGTGAAAATGGCAAAAAATTAAAGTAGAACATCCAGTAAACCACAAAAAGAAAGTAGTGAAATAAAATGTACAGAAAACTGCGCCAACAAAACAGCAAATAAAGTGAAAATAAAAAACGAGCGAATGAGAAAAGGCGGAAGTAGAAAATCCGCCTAAAATGAGATAAAAATGCGAATTAAGAAAAGCCGTGAGAAAGTGAAAAATGGCGATCTTAATAAAGAAAAGGGCGCTAACAAAATAGAAATTAACGCAGAAAAAATACACACGTCTAAGAAATTACACTGTTGAATGTTTCTAGTTCATGGATGTGCCCGGACTATGCTTGGACGCTCGAGGCAAAATGTGAATGCATGAAATTTTCGAAATAAAAGGTTAAATAAAAACTAAAAGCATTATGAAATATATAAGAATACAGTGACTGAATTTCTAATCTATTTTCGGAAACAGCTCAAAATGAAATAACAAACGATAATGCAGTAAATGCGTAGAAAAGTAAATGACCAATTAAACTTTATTCATTAACGAATAAATTTGTTTCGTTACTGCTCTTAAGTATATAGGCCGACTCAGAAATAATTACCGTATTTGTTAAATGTTAGTTTTTCTTTCTCCTTGTAGATTTACAAATATGAATTTGACGCCAATAATCACTTTTTTTCCTGCATTTTTGTCGCGTCATCGAAAAATTATCTTGGAGGATTTATCTTTTATCACTTCGGACTTAACTTATAAAAAAATATGAATAAGTTAATGAATATTGTGATCTTTACCTCATCGTTTATACACAATAGAAGCAAATGTATACTCAAGGGACTTCATATCAATAGAAACTACAAAATAATTGGCCTCCACAAAACCCTCCGCGATTCCCCAGAGAGATCGCCGGGCCATTCCCTAATGCACCGGATTTGCAGGATTTAACCCAATACCGCGTTCAGTTTCTCAGCAGACGATGGCAGGGCGATCGTCTGGGTCGTGGGAAGCCCTCGCCTTTCGAGGCTTTTCACGAGAAACTCCCCTGCGTGAAGTGGATGTTTAGGAAGTATTTTGACAAAAGTATCTACTGGGACGGAAGAATACCAATACATACACACACAGAGAAACATGTTGCAACATGAACGACGAAGGGAAGGGCAAGAAAACACACGAATATGCCGAAGGCCTTTTCACTATTGCTTCGTCAGGGCAATAGTGAAAAGGCCTTCGGCATATTCGTGTGTTTTCTTGCCCTTCCCTTCGTCGTTCCTGTTGCAATCTGTTCAACATGAATTCCACACAGAAAAACATATACAAGTAGATGTAAACAAAAAAAAATACATATATTATACATAAACATACACAGAGAAACATATACAAGTAGATATAAAAAAATACATATATAATATACATACACACACACACACACACACACACACACACACACACACACACACACACACACACACACACACACACACACACACACATATATATATATATATATATATATATATATATATATATATATAATATATATATATATATATGTATATATGTATATATATACATACATATATATATATATATATATATATATATATATATATATATATATATATATATATATATATATATATATATATATATATATATATATATATATATATATATATATATATATATATATATATATATATATATATATATATATATGTATATATATATATATATATATATATATATATATATATATATATATATATATATATATATATATATGTGTGTGTGTGTGTGTGTGTGTGTGTGTGTGTGTGTGTGTGTGTGTGTGTGTATGTAAATATATATGAATATAAATATATACATAAATAAATAAAATATATAGATAGATAGATAGAGAGAGAGAGAGTCGAATATGTATTGTTCAATAGATAGATAGATGGATAGATAACTAGATAGGCGTACACACACATACGAATGGCTGCTTGTTTGTGTCTGTGATATATATATATATATATATATATATATATATATATATATATATATATATATATATATATATATATATATATATATATATATATATATATATATATATATATATATATATATATATATATATATATATATATATATATATATATATAATTGAATC